TTCTGTTTGGGCCTGATGATTGGGCTAATTTTATTGGACTCTCATGGTTTGGGCCTCCTCAGGTCGGGCTTCAGATGCGGATTTGGGCTAGCACACATGCCTTCCTTCATGGTTTGGGCTTTTCTAGTTTTGGGCTCTACTTGGCTCACTTGGATTATTTTTGCACATATTATTTTATTCATTCTTTAGTTGGGCTTTTCTGGATTTTAGACTGGACTTATGTCGATTGCATTTCTTGGCTTAGAACATTTTTTCTTGATCGGATTATCTGACCTTAGGCCTTACCCTTGCGGGGGTTGAGGTTCCGGGAATGATTTTATTCCTAGATCTAAGTGGAATGTTTTGAGTCGGCTTTGTAATTGCACTTAAGTCTATGTTCCAATATCCGATAAGCGCTTCACATTATAGTTCTTTGGTTGTTGCTTACTTTTTATACAAGTAGGAGCCTGTTCCCGCTTGTTTAGACGTTTGTATTCTTTGATTATTTAATAAAATGCATTTAAAAAAAAATATCTCCCAAAATCTCGTAGCCTCCATCTCCCAAATCGTTAGCCACCCTAGGAGGAAATATGGACATCCACTAACAAATAATTCATCTCCTTCCTACATAAAACCAATGTTCTGAAAACCGGACCGGACGTCGACTCGGACAAAGCACTGGGTCAAGGGTTAACCGGTTGAACCGGGGTCAACTCGGGTCAATGACTCGGTCAAACTATAATAAAAATGCTAATATTTTATATTATACCATTAGATATTTTTAGTTAAAAAAGTATTTAGCTTGTGTTTTTACTTCTCCATCTAGTTTTGATATCATTGTATATATTTTAATTTACAATTTCTATTTTTTTCTATTACTTTTATTATTATTAAAAATTAATAGTGAATGTCTAACACACACTTAAATTATAAGGTAATACTTATATTTTTTAAAAATAAACAAAAGATAATAAATTCTTATTTACTAGTTACGGAGTAAAATTTATATTTTAGTTGATTAAAATGATTGAAAATATAAAAAAGCAAAATATTAAATTATAATTAATAATTTAAAGATAAAAGATAATACATTAAGTATAGATTATTTATAGTTTTCTTAAGATAAAAAGTAAATTATACTAATTATATTTAAGTTTGAACTACTTTAAAAATCAACAATATAACTATATTATATAAACTTAGTTCTTTTTTAAGTAATTTGAAGTTTTTTTAAAATACTCTCTAAATAGTTAAAGAAGGTAATATATACCACATTGCATGGTATAGTCAACAAAAGGTGTTGTAGCTCATTTGGTTAGGAGCTCTTTTCCCCAGCCTTGGTGGCAGGTTCGAATCCTCCTGCCTTGGAAATTTTTAATCAAATTAAAAATCGGAAACCGGATGGGCCGACCCGGGTCAGCCGGTTCGCTGGTTTTTCCGGTTTTGACCGGGTCAATGCAAGGGCGGGTCAACCCAACAATATGTATATATTAATCAAAGGTGTTTAAAAAAACTTAAAGAAGTATTTTGGACACTTAGAATATCAAGAGAAAGATTCGCAGACCCAAACGGTCGATGCAAATGGTCGACCGTCGTATTAAACTTCGAAACGGACCACAACTGTCAGCAAAACGGTCGACCGCCGCCAGCAAGCCGAAGTCCGCCATCCGCAGCCAGTCAACAACTGTCGACCGCCGGTCAACCACGGTCGACCGTCACGGTGAATCGCTAATCCGACCTGATGAAGATCAAGGTCGACCGTCACGACCGTCGCGCCAAACGGTCGACCGTTCCGAGCCCAGTAGTTTTATTAAATGATATTTTAATCGTGTTTCATCCAAATAAACTAATGCATGATTATATATTCATATTGTTTGCAAATTGTTCACATCATGTCATTCATTTTAACATTTATATTGAAGCATATCACATCATGTGCATGCGTAATTGCGTCTCTTATAGCGTGATTGTGCGGGACTTAGTAGTCTGACATCACACGTTCGGGCTTAGTGTACGTACATGGTATTCTGGTCTCCGGGTACCACCCCTATTTCTCTAGTCTCACCTCATTCGTGAGACTAAGGCCGCGTGAGTTCGTCGTACTAAATGGGCGAATCTCATAGCGGAAGGGTGTCCTTGCAAGTTATAGGATCATGCATCATGTTATCGTCATCAAGTACATATATATTGATTACATAGGTGTCATGTAATCATCATCAAGAACAATTATATTGATTACATAGGTGTCATGTAATCATCCTCATGAACAAGCAAATTGATTAAATGTACCATCATGTAATTATCATTAAATATTTATCATCACGATTCATCAAATTGACCATATGATATAATGTCTCATATCATGAATATTAATATACACTTTGTGGACGTATATATATGTATATGTATATGTCTGTGAATTATTCTATAATTCTAGCGTGGTACCACTCAGCGGTTTCGCTGAGCGTGTAGTTTGTATTTTTCGTTGACTACACGTAGGTAACAAGAAGACAATGATGGAACCATTTCCGGAGGGCATTGAGTCAGAGGAGATGCAAGGATGGCAGGCAAATGTTGATCATCAGATTTTAAAAAGTGTCATGATTTGATTGTTGTTGTACTTCCGCATTACTCTGAAAATATTTTTAAATGGGTCGCGATCTAGAGTGTGTAAATTTGATACTTATAAGTAATTGTCATTTTAAAATGTCAAACGAAATTTTTATTTAACCCTCGTTTCACCTTAATTCGTGTAATTCTGGGTTATAAGGATTGGGGTGTTACACAAAGAACCTGCTCTTCATCAAATTAATGTCTTGACCCGAGGATAGGCTTACTCTTTCAAAATGGACATTAGGCGAAGAAGGTTACGGGTGTTACCGTTGAGGAAAATTACCAGATCATCTGCATAACAGAGGTGAGTGATGATTGGCCCCCGTCCACTGTTAAAAGATTTGAGGAACCTGGAATGTATCCCCTATGTAAAAGCCTTGCTTAAACCTTTGCTTCATAGAATAAAGAGAAGAGGGGACAGAGGATCCCCTTGTTTCACTCCCCTCTTCATAGGGAAGTAACCCTTAGGCTTTCCATTTATGTTGATGGACATCATTGTGGCTTGGAGGTTGCTCAGCAGTAAGCTTGTGACAAAGTTGCTAAAACCCATCTTCCTTAGCACTGATTCTAGGTATTGCCAACTCATTCTATCAAAAGCACTTGCCATGTCAAGTTTGATTATGATATTTCCCCCCTCAACCTTGCGTTCCAGTTGATGAGCCATCTCTTGGGCCAAGAGGATTTGGTCATCAATGGATTTCCCTTTTTGAAAACCAGCTTGTTCTGGACCAATCACTTACCAGCTTGTTCCGGACCAATCACTTTATGTAGTAATGTGCCAAGTCGATTGGCTAGAATACGAGTGTTAATCTTGCTCATGAAGGTAGACAGTGAAATAGGTCTATAGTCTTTCCATTTAACTGGATTGTCACCTTTAGGGACCATAGTTATGAGGGTACTTCCATACGAAGCAGGGATTTTGATTCCCAAGAAAAATTCCTGGCATGCCCTAAGCAGATCCACTTTGATTATGTTCCAGCATTCTTTGAAGAATCTTCCATTAAACCCATCCGGACCAGCTGCAGCATCTGGATTAAGGGACCATATTGCTTCCCTAACTTCCTCTACTTCAGGTAGCCTCCTCATAAAATTGTTGTCTTGTTCTGTGATGTTGGTGGGAATGTATGTGGTAATACTTTCTGGATTTGAAATGGCATGATCAGCAAAGAGATTGGTGAAGTGTTCTACTGCCATGTTACCAATTTGATCTTCATTGTCATGATTGATCCCCATGTCATCCCTTATGGTGGATATTTTAAGTTTTGCTCTCCTCCCTTTGACATATGAATGGAAGAATTTCGTGTTGGAGTCCCCCTCTTTCAGCCAGGAGATGTTGGCCTTTTGTTCCCAGAAAATTCTTTCCACATTACAAGCCTGGAGGAGTTTAGCAGCAGCAAGATTTGATTCACATCTCAGTT